AGATTATTACCAATCAAAAACAAATTATATAATCACAATTGAGATAAAATTCCAAAGGCAATGATCGGTTTTCATGCAGACACCTGTACTGCGGTCTGGGGAAATCTTGAGGAAATCACATATAAAGTATAATCTTCTGGACAGGGAGAGAAACAGAGAGTTTGAGTAAATTCTGCAAATAACCAGAAGTAAGATTCTTGAGGTTCAAGGAACTGGGGGAAGCAAGTGATGGGGAGGAAGAAGCAACACAGGAACAGGATCACTGTAGGAAAATGGAGATAAGGGTTTCCTACCATGTTAAGGATATTGGAGCTTAGCTGGCAGAAAAGTCATAGAAAATTCTGCTCTGGAGTGATAGCACAGCAGTAGGGTGTTTGCCTTGCGCGCAGCCAGCCTGGCCAAGCTGGGTTCGATTCCTCCGCCCCTCTCAAAGAGCCTGGCAAGCTACCGAGAGTATTCAATGTGCCAAACACAGTAACAAGAAGTCTCACAATGGAGATGTTACTGAGCCCGCTCGAGCAAATCAATGAACAATGGGAGGACAGGACAGCACAGGACAGCATATTTTATTTATTTGTGAGACAGCGTCAGAAGCACTCGTTGCTGCTCATGGCTGCAGTTAGATAGATCTGGGGCGTCGGAGCGGGCCCGCAGCGGCGGAGACGCGGACGCGGGGCGAGAGAGGGCGACTCGTGCGGCGGCGGCTGTTTATTTTCAGGGTCCTTGCCTGCGCCACACGCGGGTCTGCACATGCGGGTCGAATCCGGAGTTCTGACATCCGTCGACGATCAAGGATCAGGGACCTGTCTCATATGCCAAGGTGTCGAAAATCAGATGGGCTGGTCACGTAATGAGATTTAAAGACGACCGTTGGACTAGAGCTGTTACTGATTGGATTCCACGGGATGTCAAGAGACTGCGTGGCCGCCCACCTACCAGATGGTCAGACTTCTTTGTCAAGATCATGAACGATCGGTTTGAGTTCCCGGAGCGAAGAGATGCCATTGGGCTACACTAGCACGCGACAGGGACAAATGGAGACGTTACTGGCGCCCGCTCGAGCAAATTGACGACTAACGGGAAGTTAAGTGATTAAGTGATTAAGTGAGACAGCGTGATCAGAGCTTCATTCTGTGAGATTCCCATGAAAGACATTGGACACATGGCAACTGGGAGAATCCAGAAAAGAGGTAAAAAAGCCAGCAAAGAATGACAAAGCCTTCAACCAGTGAGTAAGAACAAAAGACAGGACTTCCATGGTGTACCCAGGAGCAATGAGTTCTGAGTAATAGGGGCAGGAACATTTTTGCCTAGCTTTCTTAAAGGAGCCAAACTACATGCTTTTATATTTAAAATCTCAAAAAGTCATAAGGGTACAGAGGTAGGGAAATGCAAAGATGCTGATCAAGGAATACATAATGCATCTATGCAGAATCCAAGGTCACATGAAAACTTATGCTGTACTGGTTACTGGAAATCTGTTGACAATATACTTCAGGTGTTCATTCATCAGCCACAGGAAAATGGTAACTCTGTGAAGAGAAGTGGACTGTAGCAATCATTTTACTATATCATATAGTCCAAATCTTCATTTCATACAGGTTAGACATACACAATTTTGGGGGCCAGAGTGAGAGTACAGTCATTAATGTGCTTGCCTTGCCAACCTGGCACCACGCATGCTCCCCTGAGCTTACCAGGAGTGATATCTGAGCGCAAAGTCAGGAGGAAGTCCTGAGTACCACAGGATGTGTCTCCTCAAATAAAAATGTATCATTTTCATTAAACTAAGAAACACTGACAGCTACTCATGTGGAGGAGGTATATGGCAACCAATCAGGAAAACTGAGATTCTGCAAAGACCAGGATTGAGAGGGAAGAAAAGAGTGAAGGGACAAATCCAGAGTCTAGCCGTGCCACGAATGGACTTGTTGAACTAGGTCAGTCATCAACATCAATGAGTCAAGAGATTTCAACTACAGGGGCAGGTTTCTGTGTTCCCTTGAAAGAGTGAGGATAGGTGCAATAGTGTAGGGCAGTGAAGAGGCTGCCCCAGGAGGGAAGGAATCATGTACTTCTGGTCTACCACAGTCCTCTGGCTCACTTCCCTTACTGAGGGCTCTCACAGTCAGAAGAGGCTTATGTGCTTGTTGTTTTCTCTTAATATTTTTTACTGAGGGTGCACTTTAACATTATAAATGCTGCAGACACGCATCACTGAAAATCACCATGTTTTTACACTACATTAAGTCTACCACTTTAAAAAGTCCAATTTCATCCTTTATCATTGTTCCTTTTTACCTTATTTACCCACCAGATCTTCTTCCTTCTCTTCTGGTAACCACTTATTTGGTCTTAGAGTCTAAAACTCTAAGTATGTCTTATTTATTCGTTTATATTAGAACAGATTTATTTTAGGCCTGAAGCAGAACACAGTTTCCCAGGGTCTCAGGAGGGAGTTAGTGGGAGCTGGGGTTGTGGAGAAAGTATTTTGTTAGTAAGCTTGGGTTCAAAGAGGAAAGATTCAACCCTGGGAGACTCCTGCTAAGGTCTAGGACTGGACACTATCCCAGAGAGAACAAGGACACAGCACCCAATTTGCTTGCTAACTAGTACATAAACCAGCAGAGAAGTATTACTGCAGGACATGGGAACCTTGGATGATGCCTCTAGACACTCACGAAGTTGGGGAGGGATTCTATAGAGGAGCAGCTGAATCAGCATCTCCACTTCACTTTAGGAAACCAAGGACACTGAGAAGCGAGGCATTTTGCTAGAAGTCAAAATAAATGTCCTAAATTAAACATTAACTTAAAAAGTATAGATATCAGTGCATTTTTCAGAGCAGCAGTAGCTTTGTTTAAATAATTTTACAAGCATATTACATAGTCCAACTTTCTCAGCAATAGGAGAGGCAGGTGAGTGGGCATCAGTAGTCTGGGTTCTCTGGTTTTGCTCAGAAACCTTTGCCTTTCTTTTCTGCCTTTCTTTAAATCGCAAGGAATGGGCTGCAACTTTGGCATCCAAGTTTAAGTGCTTATCCTTTTTCTCTACAGCAAAGAACTTTTGGTCTTTCCCCCTTGAGGGCACAAATAAGGAGAATAGTCAGGAATGGAACAAAGTCCGGTTCTACAAGTCGAAAACATGAGGGAGAATGAGTTGACCCACAGTCAGAGTGAAAGAGAAAGAAGGGTCAAGAACTTCAAGTACTGTTATAGGCTTACAAATTTTGGGTACTGTGTTTTGCAAGAGAGGCTTTGAGTGGCAATCATGTTTGGTCTATCGACTACTTTTAGCATGCTTCTCCCACCCTGGGAGGACCCTCACAACACCCTTCATCATGGTTTTTCACTAATAAAAAAAGAAAAAATAAATAAATTAAATAAATAAATAAATAAATACTTCTATTTAAAAATGGAGTTAAGGAAAAGAAAAAAAGAACTTCAAGTACTTCCCACAGAACTGGAGCAATGACCTGCATTACTTACACTAACTCAAACTTCCAGGCAAGAATGAATGTAAAGGGGACTGGAGCGATAGGACAGTGGGTAGGGTGTTTGCCTTGCATGCGGCCAACCCGGGTTTGATTCCCAGCATCCCATATGGTCCCCCTGAGCACTGCCAGGAGTAATTCCTGAGTGCAGATCCAGGAGTAACCCCTATGCATCGCCGGGTGTGGCCCAAAAGGAAAAAAAAAGAATGAATGTGGAAAACTGGGACAGACACGGACTGTGCACCAGGATACATGGGTGTATGGAAAATCATTTATGAGTCAGGGAGTCCTGGGGAAACTGTAATTTTTAATTGTCACATGAAGAATGGGCCAGATTCTATTTTATTCCCCAGTTATAGAACATAGGTCCTGAGCTATATAGTGACTAACTGCTATTACCTGTGTAGTGACAGGAAGAAAGGTCCAAATACACAGTTTTTTTTTTTTTTTTGCTTTGCATCTTTAGTTTTTTTTTCTATTAATCACTGTGAAATTGCAAAGTTATTCATGATTCGGGTTCCGGTATACATTTTTTTCAACACCATCCCTTTATCAGTGTCCACTCCCCTCTACCAACTCCCCTCTACCAGCTCTTGCCTCCCACCCACCAGAATGTACTTCTTAAAGATATGTAAGTTACAGCTTTGTAACTGTGTATCTCATGGTGATTCAGTTTTTTTTAAAAAAGGGAAAAATGTATGTTTTTGCATTATGGTTTACTGTACTGGTGCCTCTAGGGTTTCACTTTACCTACCACCTTTCCTCACACCCGCTACTCTAGTCTGATCTTCCCTCCACAATAGCCATTGCACCTCCATATCCTATCTCCCAGTACCCTCAGGTGGTGTGTTTCCTGCTGATTACCAGTTTTCCTGTTATTTCCATTATCTTTGGGTATTCATTATTCCCTCATTCTATTTCATCTGGAGTAATAGCACAGCAGTAGGGCGTTTGCCTTGCACGCAGCCAGCCTGGCCGGCCTGGGTTTCATTCCTCTGCCCCACTTGAATAGCCTGACAAGATAGAAAGCTACCAAGAGTATCTTGCCTGCACAGCAAAGCCTGGCAAGCTACCCGTGACATACTTGATACGCCAAACACAGTAATAACAAGTCTCACAATGAAGACGTTACTGAGCCTGCTCAAGCAAATCGATGAACAACGGGAGGACAGTGCTACTTCTTCTATTTCATTATAATTTGCATATGAGAGATCATTCTGTGTCAGTCTCTCTATGACTAACTTCACTCAGCATGATCCTTTCCAGGTCCTTAGATACAGCAGCAAACTGCAATACTTTTTCTTTTCTTTTCTTTTATGGCTGAGTATAATGGAATATTCCTTGGCATCTTTATTTTTAACTTGAAGGTAGGAATCTTGGGGAGCAGTGTCACCCTTCAGGCCTTCAGATCTTACAGCAGTTTGTTGAGTTCTATTACTCCAAAGCTGCAGACTGTTGGCAGGGGATCAGAGTGTAGGTCCTGATGTCCATGGACTCAGGGACTTACCTGCAGCAGCCTCTTTGTTTGGAAATAACTTGCTGTCAACTGCCACACTGATGTCATAGAACACTTCATCCTCGTCACGGTCAGCATCAAACTGGGGGAAATCAGAACAGACAAGTTAGGAACATAAAATGATAGAAATTAGTTTGTTTCTAAGTAGAATGAGAATATACCACACAGCTCTATCTCTCATGAAGCAGGACAACGGAAATGAACCCTCTGAATCTTTAAACAGACAATTAGAGGATTCAAAACCTGTACCTCATATCGAATTGAGAAGGGTATTGAGGATAACTGTAAAGTCACTGGGGCTGGAGTGATAGTACAGCAGGTGAGGCACAAGTGCCTTTCCCAATGGCCAGTCTGGGTTCGATCCCTGGCATCCCATATGGTCTTGACAGGAGTAATTCCTGAGTGCAGAGCCAGGAGTAAACCCTGAGCTCCAATGGCTGTGGCCCCAAAACAAAAGTATAAAATCACTTATGGTTAAAAGAAAAAACAAGCAGACAAAGTAGAGGGCTGGGGCAATAGCTCAAAGGCTCAGAGCAAATGAATCTTGGATGCCGGTGTCATGGGATTAATGCACAGTGTCCAGCATCACCTGCCTTTCAAGGCACTGCAGGGGTAGGAAAGATTGTGGTGCTCCCCAGCTGAGACTGAGCATTAAACCATCCATTAGCCATCCAATCTGGTCAGCTGCACATCACCAGGAGTACCTCCCATGCCTTCTGAACATTGTTTGGGAACCTCTCTTCCCCGGCCCCAAAGAAAAATGCAGGTAGAATTTCTTTAATTAAGTAATTTATTAATTTTTATAAAATAAGCCTTAGAAAAATAACAGAAATCTACCTTGCACTTTTCAGCTCTTAGGTTATCATCATCATCATCATCATCATCATCATCATCATCATCATCATCATTATTTTTGATCATGGCTCTATACTCTGGGAACACTCCTGGAGGTACTCAGGGGAACCCTATGTGGTACTGAGGATTGATTAAGTTATATACAAACAAGTCAAGCACCTTAACCCCTGTATAATCTCTCCAACCCCTCTGAGGTTTTATTTAATTAAGAAAGAATGAAAATATGTAGCTCTAAATAATGAGAGACTAAACTAAGAAGACCAGAGATAAAAGTGACAGCAGATGTCACAGAGAGGCAAAAGGTCATGAGAGATCGCTGAGAACAATTTTATGTCACTAAGTTGGGGAAGCTTGAAGAAAAAGATGAATTTTTGGAATCGTACAGTGTTCCAATTCCAAATTTGAAGGTAACAGAAAACCCTAACAAGGCCAATTACAGGCAAAGAAATAAACAGTAATCAAAATCTCCCTCAAAACAAAAGGTCAGGTCTCCTAATTTTATTAGTGATTTCTAACTTCAAAGATAAATAAAAAGGGGTTAAAAAAACTTTTAAAGGTAATGTACTTTTCATCTATAGACCAAACATGATTGCCACTCAATGCCTCTCTGGCAAAACACAGTACCCAAAAGAAGAGAGAGAGAACAAGGGGGAATGCCCTGCCACAGCGGCAGGGTGGGATGGGGGGGGCTGGGGGGTGGGAGGGATGCTAGGACCCGTGGTGGGGGAGGATGGGCACTGGTGGAGGGATGGGTACTTGATCATTGTATAACTGAAACCCAAGCACAAAAATTTATAAGTCTATAAATGTACCTCATGGTGTTTCACTAATAAAAAAATGATTAAATAAATAAAAAAGTAAAAAAAAAAAGAAGAATGGAACATCAGAAGGAATTCAAATTCCAAAGCAATCTGTTGGCAGGATTTTTTTCTTATTGGAAAGTATTTTATTTTTATTCTATTAAAACCTTTGATTAGATGAGACCTACAAAAAAAATAAAGGTAATGTACTTTTCAACCTTTTCTGAAGAAAATTAAAGAAACAGGAAATCTTTCAGTTTCTCTGATGCCAACATTACCGTGATCCCCAAACCAGAGAGGAATCACCAAGAAAGAAAACTACAGAGCAATGTTTCTGATGAAAGTGGATGTCAAAGATCCTCAGCAAAATCTTAGCAAACCAAACTGAGCAATAAATGGAAAGGAACATGTATCATGACTAAGTGTTATTTTTTTCCTTTATCTTCTACATCCCTGTACTATATTTCCAGCACACAAGAAGGACCTATATTAAGAAAGAAAGCGCAGCTGAGAATATGGACAAAAAGGAGAAAACTGTTTCACTGTTGGAGGGAATTTAAACTGCTATTTCAGTCTGCTGGGGAAATAGGGAGATGATTTTTTTTAGATTAAAAATAGAACTACCATATTAATTTCACCACAGGTAACTATCCCATTGACACAAAAACATTAATTTGAGATCATTACAGTGCTATCCACAATAACTAAGATATGGAAGTGACCCAAGTTTCAACCTGAGTTCATTCTATCCAATGACAGATGAACACAAACAAGAATGTGGGGATATGTATAGAATGGAATACTACTCAGCTATAAGAATGGATGGGAGGCTGCCTTTTGCTACAACATGAATAATTAGAGGGGCGTATGCTAAGTAAAATAAACCAGAAGAACTTATTCTCTCAGATGATCACACACATATATTTAATATACAAAAAAACAAAACAAGAGAATAGATGATAAATAGCAAAAACAAATCCTCTGTGACTCTGATCATGGAACTGAGATTGCCACAATGCAGAGTGGACTGAAAGGGTCCAGAGGAATGCAGTGGACTGCATTTGGAATTTGCTGATGGATAGGTCTTAGAACATTAAATGTATACCACTGGCCCACTTGTAAACCAATGTCATCATCATAAAAAATAAAATAAACAATATAAAAAGATAAATGATGGGGAAAGATTTTCTTATTGCTAAAAAAGAACAGTTCACCAAACCAAATATTAGCTGCCATACTAGATATTATAGATAGTACATGTAGATCTGGGACTCTATGGAGTGCTGGGGATCGAGCTTGGGTCAGCCGCATGCTAAGTAAGAACCCTAACAGCTGTACTAGCACTCCAGCCCTGAGATTTATTTTAATTAAAAATGTTTTTTATGGGGCTTGAGTGATGGTGGGGCGCGTAGGGCATTTGCCCTGCACAAGGCCAATCCAAGTTCAATCTTCAGCATCCCATTTGGTCCCCTGAGAACTGCCAAGACTGATCCCTGTGCACTGCTGGGTGTAGCTCCAAAACAAAAATTTTATTAAGTCACTGTGATTTACAAATTTATTCATGGTTGGGTTTCAGGAATACAATGTTTCAACATTGACCCCTTCACCAGTGTCCACTTTTCTCCACCAATGCCCCCCTCCATCTCATTTTCCTCCCTCCCACCAAGCTGCCTCTCTGAGAGGCACCTTTTTCTTTTTTAAAAAATTGTTTTAAAATCTTTTTTATTGAATCATTGTGAGCGACAGTTACAAAGCTTCCATGTTTGAGTTTCAGTCATACAATGATTGAACACCCATCCCTCCACCAGTGTACATTTTCCCACCACTAATATCCCCAGTATCTAGAGAGGTACTTTTTTTCTTACTAATTTTTGGCATTGGTTTACAGTACCATTGCCAATCAGGTTTCATGCATAATACCTTACTACCTTTCAACCCCTCCTCTTCCTCCTGGTTGAACACTTCCCTCCTCCATTGCCATGATATTCCTTTCTCTGACCTATCCCTCACCCCATTCCCACCCCTTGACAAATGGCAAGCTTCCTACTGAAGAAAGGTTTTTGTTGTTTGTTTTTGTTGTTTTGGGGCATTTTTTATCCTATTTTTTCCTTATATCCCAAATATGAAAAAAAATAATTTTGTGTCAGTCTCTTTCTCTCTAACTTCACTCAGCATGATACTCTCCGGATACATCCATGTAGCAGAAAATTGCATGATTTTAGATTTCTTATGGCTAAGTAATATTCTACTGTGTATATAAACCATAGTTTCTTTGTTCAGTCATCTCTTCTTGGACACTTGGGTTGTTTCCAGATTTTGGCTATTGTAGGTAGTGCTGCAAGGAACATAGGAATGCAAATATCTTTTCTATGTTATGTTTTAGGGCCCTTGGGCCTAAATACAAAAGATTTAAATTTGACCAAATTTACAGATTTTAGATTTTATTTTTTATGGTTGCATCTTTTTGTACTATACCTAAGTCATTACTTCTTTAAACATTCATAGTTAGGCACTGGGGTTGTTTACATATCTTGACTGTTAGAGATATTTGTTGCAGTGAACCAATGGGGTGTTTTATCTTTTTATACTAGGTTTTCATATTATCTTTTTAAACTAGGATTTTGTATTATTTGGATAAATACTCAAAAGTAGAATAGCTGGATCATACAATAGTTCTGATCTCATTTTCTGAGAACTTGCCATACTGTGTTTCATAATTTATGTAACTAAATTTATATTGAATAAATGCACTAGTTTGTATTTCTGCCGACAGTGTACAAGGCTTTTTTCCCTCATCATATTGACCCCCGTCATAATGACTCTTGCCTGCATGAACACCCACCCTGGCAAGCTACCCCTGACGTATTCGATATGCCAAACACAGTAACAACAAGTCTTACAATGGAGACGTTACTGGGTCTGCTCAAGCAAATCGATGAACAACGGAGGACAGTGACAGTGACATATTGACTCCAACACAAACCATTTCTTGTCTTTTAAAAAATAAAAAAAAAATAAAAAATAACAGTTTTGGGGCTGGAGTGATAGCACAGCAGGTAGGGTGTTTGCGTTACACGCGGCCCGGCCTGGGTTCGATTCCCAGCATCCCATGTGGTCCCCTGAGCATGAGCAGGAGTAATCCCTGAGTGCATGAGCCAGGAGTGACCCCTGTGTATCGCTAGGTGTGACCCAAAAAGCAAAACAACAACAACAACAACAACAACAAACACCACCACCACCACCAACAAAAAGTTATTATTTTAGGTATGAGACAATATCTCTTGGTGATTTTTATTTATTTATTTATTTTAAATGTTATTGAATCACCGTGAGATAGTTACAAGCTTTCATTTTTGGGATACAATCACACAATGATCAAACACCCATCCCTCCACCAGTGCACATTCCCCACCACCAATATCCCTGG